AGTTTTATGCAAAAATAAAATATAATGATGTATCATTTAATTAATAGATTGAATACTTAAATCAAGGTTTGAATAAACCTTAGATCTTTCCTTTAAAATGAATGTTCTCACTTATTGTAGATCCCTTTACGAGATACCTTCCCCTTGGATCTTCATCCTCTTGGTAATGGTTTTGCCTTTAGGAATCACTCATAAGCCTCCATGAATGGCCTTGGAATTAGGTTTGTGGGAGCATCCATTAGATGAGAACACTAATCCTAAAAATCTAGAGAGAGAAATAATTTCTTGTGCTCTTAAAGTTCCCCCTCAAATATATATGAACCCATGTATATATATAGGCAAAATAAAAATAAGAAAAGTAAACAATAAATCCTTCTCAATCTCTAATTCACATATCTCAAATTTAATAGAATTCCAATATCAAGTTGGACTATGAGTGAGAACCCTTTGGGCTTATTATTTTATTAGTTACAATGAATTAATAATTGGCCCGGTCCATGAACCCAGTTAAATTAATTCATTAATTAATTTCTACTTTACTAAAAGAAATTAATTGAACTCCAATTAAATAATAAATAACTTCTAAGTCAATATTGTACTTTGACCTTTTTATACATAATTAGTTATCGGATAAATAAAACCATTAATCCAACTACTTAATTAATATATTTATTTTGATACCTTTGATTATTTCTGGCTCGACCACAATAAAACATTTGTTTGAAAGAAATAATAATTTAAATAAATAAATGTATAATAAATCATTTTGTCTAAAAACACACGAAGGCTTTCGAATTTACTTTGTGATCAACCATAATCAATACAAAATAAATATAAGTAGCAATGATACAAATATTGAAAATATAACTCTCTAACTATTAATTACATAATTACCCAAAGTGCCGGTCTAAGGATTCCGAAGAATCCGCCGAACAAATTAAAGTAATTACTAATTAATAAAGGAGTCTATACTTCTCTCATGCTTAAGAGTCAAATGCCATGACAATGATAGGGAGCAATTGCATATGACGGCTCTCACAATATATTTCAACCTAACGCGGATTCAAATATCAAGTCTTAATTAATAATGAGTTCATCTATAATTACTGACTATGAACAATTTATAATTACTATTTATATTCATGTATTAATTGCCATCACATACATATATAAATATTTCTTGTAATCAAGTGGACACTATCAATCATAATAAATCAAAACATAATACGTTGAATTCACTAATTATATAAATTATAAATATTTCGGATATGTCAGGAACATATGTCACTATAATCCACATAGGAATTTACCATATCAAGGTATATAAATCCCAACAGTTATCACTCTCACCCTTAACAGAGGTGTGATCCATGTTAATCGAGTCTTCATCATCGTAACTCTCATGCTTAAAAGAGAGAGAGCATCAAATTAATGAGTTTCTCTTGTCTAGCAGGAAATTCTTAACAAAATACAATTTTAAAATAAAATCCTAATTAGAGTAGGAATTTGATACACAATTCCCAACATTCAAGCCTATAAATAATTGTTGGCATTGTTGAATACTATTAAGAAATTTTAAGTAAATTAACTTAGTTTTCAACAAATCTAAAAAGTTCTCAATTGTAATAATTAAAATTTAATGAATGAAACTTATCTTCACATTAAAACTTGAACTATTTTCAGTTCTAAATTAATTTTTAATTATATTAAACCAAATATATAAGGAACTGCATGCTTTACGATATGGGTCTTAAAATTTTTCTTAAGGGTTTATATTAATGATTTTCCTTGTCGACAAGAATACTTGATGCTCTATCACCACTCATTCAACCTACACTGCCTGACTCATTCATGCATGCCCTCTGCTCCATTCCTTCTAATGAAGAGATTCATCAATGCATGCTATCACTCAACAGTGATAAGGCGCTTGGACCAGATGGGTTCAATGCCCTCTTTTTAAAAATAGTTTGGTCTGTTATTGGGTAGGATATCACCTCAGCAATCAAAGAATTCTTCATTTTTGGGAAATTACTCAGAGAGGTCAACTCCACCTACATAATATTGGTTCCAAAACTGCAAAACCCCACCTCCCTCAATAAGTTTAGACCAATCTCATGCTGCTCAACCATCTACAAATGCATATCAAAGGTAATTGCAAATAAACTCAAACCAACCCTTCCACACATCATTGACCATGCACAATCTGCCTTCATACATGGAAGGCAAATTGATGATAGAATACTATTTGCACAGGAACTATTCAATGGCTACCACGGGCAAACAAGCTCACTTAGATGTGCCATAAAAATTGACCTAAGGAAAGCTTTTGATTGTGTTTCTAAGGACTTTCTATTTGACACCCTAAAGCTGCTTAGGTTCCCACCTAGCTTCATAAGCTATATAACCACACGTGTCTCAACACCATCATTCACCATTTCACTCAATGGATAGTTTAATGGCTATTTCAGGGGCATCAAGGGGTTGAGACAAGGGGACCCCCCTCTCCCTATTTCTGTTTGTCTAACCATATGCAGGTTTTGTCATCAATTGTCAACAAGTTCACTTTGGATAGACCATTCAAATTCCACTAGAGGTGCACAGAACTGCGACTGACCCATCTCATCTTTACTGATGACCTCATGCGTTTATCTTATGCAAGTATTCCATCACTTCAAACACTTAAGTTGGCCATTGGCCATTGATATATTCTTCTCTCTCTCTGGCCTCCAGATCAACCACAACAAGAGTAAAGTTTTTATTACTGGAATCTATGCACACTCGGAATCTAATATCCTCAATTAGCTTAGGTTTCAAAAAGGTTCACTGCCAATAAGATAACTTGGGGTACCACTTGTATCCTCCATGCGAAGAGCCTCTGATTGCAGAACCCTTATTGACAAGATTATTTCTAAGTAGGGACCTCTCATTTGCAGGCAAATTACAGTTAATTAGGGTCGTGCTTTTATCCACACAAATGTATTGGAACTCTAAATTCATCTTACCAAAGAGTATTGTTACTGAGATGGATAACATTTTCAAGGCATTCCTCTGGTCTGGTCCACTACTCAAAAGAACTGGTGCTAAGGTGAATTGGGAAACCTGCTGCCTTCCCAAAAGAGCTGGTGGTCTTGGGCTTCCCAACCTTGCAACATGGAATGAAGTGGTTGTGATGAAGCATTTTTGGAATATCATTAATTCCAAGGATATGCTCTGGGTACAATGGGTCAACACTTACATCTTAAAGGGCAAGAGCATAGGGGAGGTGAAGACTCCTAGACAATGCTCTTAGAGTTGGAGAAGACTTTTCAATCTCAGGGCAACCATCCAACCGCTTGTTAAACTTGAAATTGAAATGGAATAAACTCCAACAAGAGCTTGAAATTGAAATGGAATAAACCCCAATTTATGGTTTGACAATTTATGGTGTCACCTAGGGCCATTATACCAGCTGGTTTCCCCTTGGCAACAAGACCAAAGTTTACTCCTTTGTTGAAAACGTACTCCATGTGGAACTTCCCCTAAGCCATTACCACACTATTACCTCAACTGATTCCTACTCTCAATATTCCAACACCATGCCCACAGAAACAAGAGAAGGTCATATGGTGCCCATTAACTACAATCTTCTCAATTGCCCTTTGTCAAACCCTTGTGGCCCTTTCTACAAGCACGTCGTGGGTTTCATATATTGCCTTCAACTTGGTTGCAAGTAATTGCATGGTCTTCCTACCATTGGCGAGGGAACTCAAAGTTCTACAAAAATCAATTATCGAAAATGGGACTAGCCTCATTAGTCTACGACATCTGGAATGAGCGAAATAGGAGAATTTTCAAGAAAAAATCCTTCTTTGCAAATTCAGTGTTTCACCAAACTTTGGAGCCAATCAAAGGGAAGCTGATGTCCACACCGATTACGGATTATCTGAACAATAGAAGAATAGCTGAAGAATGGGAGCTACCTGCACTACTTGCACCACCTGCACGGCCTCCGGCGGAACCACCAAACCACATAGGTTGTGGAAGTGAGAGTCTTCTCCATGTTCTTCACCGCAGAGCGTTGGAGGCTAGTAACGGTCAATTTTTTTTAATACCTGGGTCGGTTTGTTGTATGTATGTTTGGGCCTCTGGGCCTCATTTATACAGAGGAGGGTCATGCTTTGTAATGTTACCTTTAGGTTGAGGAAGTGAGAGTCTTCTCCATGTTCCTCACCGCAGAGCGTTGGAGGCTAGTAACGGTCAATTTTTTTTAATACCTGGGTCGGTTTGTTATATGTATGTTTGGGCCTCTGGGCCTCATTTATACAGAGGAGGGTCATGCTTTGTAATGTTACCTTTGGGCTAACCGTTGGGCCTGTACATATATGTCTATATTCATATTTATAAAATGAATTTGAAATTTACCTTAAAAAAAAAAAAAAAAAAAAAAAAAAAAATACTGTCAAGACCTCTGTTTTAAGCTACGTCCAAAAAAACACACACAAATCTCATTTTATATCACACCTTCCTTCCAACCTTGGAAACGAAAAAAATTGGCAGAGGGTCCTAGATCACGTGATTCAGCTCAATAATTTCCCCTTAGTATATATAAATGTAAGTCCATCGAAAACAAAGCACACAACCAATAGAACAGAAATGGAGGATACAGCAGGAAATCACTTTGTTCAATTCTGTGTCTTCCTAGTTGCAGCATTCTTGCTCAGTCGTCAAACATGCCTAGGCGTGCCACAGTCACACATTGGCGCAACAGCCTTTGGCTTTCTTCACTCAGGGCCTGAACTCCCTATAGAACACAAATTAATGGAGAATGCTACTGGCAAGCACTTCGTTCTAGTTCATGGGTCTAACCTTGGAGCATGGTGCTGGTACAAGGTTATCCCCCTGCTCAAAGGCGCCGGTCACAGTGTCACAGCCTTGGACCTTGCCGCGAATGGAGAGTGAACCCGAGGCGGGTCGATGAGGTCGCCTCCTTTTTTGAGTAAGCGCAGCCATTGACGGACTTCATGGCCTCCCTGCCTGATGGGGAGAAAGTGGCCCTAGTTGGTCACAGTTATGGTGGCTTTAGCATTTCTTTGGCCATGGAGCGCTTCCCCGAGAAGATCTCCGTCGCAGTTTTTCTCACTGCCTTCATGCCCTATTACACCTGGCCACCAGCTATGATTTTAGGAGCAGTAAGAAAATCTCTATCAGCCTTAAATCTATCTTCTGCACATAATTGCATGACCAAAATGCATGCTTTTTGTTAGGAATTTTCTCTCAAATCTTAATTTTTTTTTTTTTAATTCTAAATTTATATTTTGTTTAGGAAAGGTTAGGCTATAAATTAATTTACCTATACGAGAATTATATACCTATAAAAGTCAACTATTGCCCCTACTGAAATTATTAAAAAAATTCAATATTGTATTGCACCTCCCTTATATAATTTCCTGAGTTCGTCCCTGCTCGGAGGATAAATACATGATTAATGAGATATTGCCAGCTCATTAGGGAAGATATATACATGATTCTATGAGGCATGTAGTAGGCCTAGAAAGATTCAGTATATGCTAGGCCGGAATTTAGTTACTAATGTGTGGGTTTTGGGTATTCAATTACCACTTATTTTACGAAATTTATAGTGGATTAATTGTTAAACCATGACAAATCTGAAATCTTATACTATCCTTTTTGTTTATGATTGAATCTCTATTTGTATGTTCTTATTAATTGTCTCTTTATACATTTGTTTTTTCATGACTTTTGTGTTGATCAATGTTTCAAGGCGTTCAAGTCAAACCCTTTCATGGATTTGGTACTTGTAAATGATTCAAATCATAAGCCAGTATCAGTACACTATGGTCCACAATTCCTTGCAACTAAGCTTTATAATGACTCCCCAACGAAGGTTAGGTTCGATCTCAAACAATTTCGATCTCAAACAATTTCGAGCGAATGATTAAATCCCTAACCACAGCTAGCATTTGTTTTTAATATCTTGAGTTCTCTATACATGTAACTTTGCATGCAGGACCTTGAACTAGGTAAAATGTTGGTGAGGCCAACTAGGTTTTACGTGGATGACTTGGTCAAGAATTTGCTGACAGAAAAAAATTTCGGGTCGGTCACTCGGGTTTTTATAATAAGTGGAGATGATCAAATGTTGCCAGTGCATTTCCAGAAATATATGATAAAGTATAGCCCTCCTAAAGAAGTGAAGCATATAGCTGGATCTGATCATATGGTCATGATTTCAAAACCCTTCGAGCTTTACATCAGTTTGCAACAGATTGCTGATAAATATAATTGAATGTGCGTTACTGTGTGTTTTCTTTAATAATTAAACCTGAAGCATAAGCAGTGTGTGCATCATTAAGTCGCATGCACAGCTAGCCTAAATAAAAGGTCATGAAATAAAGTTATGAAATAAGTCGAAAAGGTCAGAGTGAATAGTTCTCTGTTCCATCATGTATTCTCTTTGATTTTCACGAAATAAATGATACTTAAATGTAATGTAACCGAATTGCAGAAATATATGTAATGTGGTATATTTTAATGTTACGTGAGATTGAGCATGTGAGTGTGTTTTTTAATCTTAAATTTATAAATCTTATTTAGATAAGAACAACACAAAGGTCCTTACTTGCCATCTTTGCATTTTACAATGCAACGGAATGTATGTGCCCTATGCCTAAATTCAGCTGACGACCTTGAACACCTCTTTCACCGGTGTGCCTAGACAAGGGTGATATGGAATGTGGTATACAACAAAAATATGGCTTCTACACTAATCCGAGCTCTGGAAGGATTTCCTGGTATGGGCATCCTCAAATTGGAAGCAGAAGCTGAAAAGGAGCAGAGTAATGACATAGAAACTTGCCTTGGCAGGTTATGAGTATCATGTGTGGAGGGAGAGGAACAAACGAATTTTCAGAAACACATCCTTACCACCTGTGCAAATTTATTATAAAATAGTACTTAAGCTATCGTTTTTCTCCCAATCTTTTCATTTATAAGATAGGATAAAAAGGATATGGAATAATAGCTATCTCTTCCAATTCTTTCATTTATCTCATCTTAAACAACTCAAACGCAATCTATACTATCATTTTCTTTGTTTTCCCTCACTATCCCTCCAAATCAGTCGTTCCAAATGGTGCCTGATGGGTGCCTGATGGTTTGAATGGCATTTTGTTCCAACTTGATGTACTTGGCCTGGTCGTGGGCTTTTCATTTTAGGTTTGGACTTTGGACTTTGTTTGAGCTATATGCCTTTTGTCCCTATTTTTGTTTGGGCTATAAGCCTTTGTTTTTTGGGGTTTTCTTTTGTCCATTGCCAGTAGGCCTCTCTTTGTTAGGCCTGGGGGTTTGTCCCAGGTGTATACACCATTCGTCTCATAAAAAGTGTCACTTTTAAAAAATCATCTCTCACAAATTGAACTGACAAGGTTCTTCATTAAGAACTTTTTTTTTTTGGGGACGGAGGTAATATTTGTATAGCTTTTTTTATTTTATTTTTTTGGCATTTATACATTTTTCTTAGTTATCAAAAATAAAAATTTCTTACTTGCTATGATTGTTCATTGAATAGTAATTTAGTATCAAGACGAAGCTCATTCTCTTTGAATTTAAATGGAGAAAATTATTTGTCTATGCATCTGAAAATCTAAATTTTCGTAAAAGGTGAATAATTAAATCAAATTTTCTGTTAATTTATCTAAATGCTTAAAAATATAAAGATATAATCTGAGAGTTTGGCTCAAATGAGTAAGTCCCTTAATCTTGGTGGCTCGGAAAAATTATAAGAATTAAGTTTCGTATTTTATTTTTTAGAATAATTAAGTTTTAGATTTATATATCTTTAGCGCTTCCGAGTCTTGTATTATTTCCAACTTCTCTAAGTTAGCTTGTCTCGAAAAGTTGCTAAGCTTCTCTATACCACAATTTTGGACAACCACAAATTGATAGTTGACCTTTCCTCATCCTTCCAATCTATAAGACAGTTGTTTGATTACATCTTTGAAGGTCCCCAGTACATCTTTGAAGGTCCCCAGAACATTGTTGTGTCGGTAAGCATCATTTGTGTCCACACTGTTCCACAAATTTACAGCTTTGGTCAAATGGTGGACCCCATATGTCCACCCCAAAAACTCCAAAATGTCCTTCCATGCAAACTAAATTCCCACAATGTCATACACATGTAAAATTTCACTTATACCCACATATAAACATCAAATAACATATATAACATGTACATAAATCCAAAAAATAAATTCGACCACGCAAATTCCAAGCATGGAGCCTGTGTGGGCGTTCCGAAAATCTAAAAAAATGCAAAAACGCACTAAAATATATTTTTAAGAATTCTAAACTCCAAAAAAATATCCCAAATAACTATCGGAACTCTTGTGACACGCTCCTGTGACACATTAATAGGTGCACAATACGTGTAAAACGATGCAATTAAATAAATAAATATAAAAAAAAATTTGAAAAAAATTGAGACGTTACAAAATAGGTAACTAGAATGGCCTATACTCCGATTGAAAGGGGAAGAAGAGTAGAGAGAGAGGGAGGGGATGAATGAGGGCCTGTGAGTTGCAGACTTGCAGCCGCTGCCAACCACACACATTGATTGAGAGAAATAATTGTGTACTGTACATTATAGTACACAATAATTTACTTTTGGTATTAACAATTTTTTTTTTTTTGGGAACTATATATCTATAAAATTGCACTATTACTCCATTGAAATTAATACAAATTTTCACTATTGTCCCCTTCCATATAAGTTTCTGGGTCCTACCAAGGGAACCTGACATCTACATAGCGGGAGAGTGAATTAATGCCACCGACAATGACGAAAGAAAGACCAGAAAGAGTAGGGAGAGAGAGAGGGGGGATTAAGAATGAGAAACACATGCTTAATTGAGATAGAGAACCTGGTGGCTACTTGCAGACGCTGCCACCCACATTGATGAGAGAAAGACCAAAGGATGAGTAGAGAGATAAAGTAATTGAATGGAAGATACAGTGAGAGAATCCCAGCGCACAACACATTTTGGATAATATATGCTGTGTTGAAACAATGTCTTTTGTGTGCACATTTCACAGGCTACATGATGTATTCTATGCTTGATATTTGTAGACAGACATGGAATAAAGTAGCGCATGCCATGTGAGTCATTGTGTGTGATAAATAATATTTTTTTTTGTTTCAAAATAATTAAATATTTTAAAAATTATGAGTCATATTTTTGTGAGCCATAATTTTTAAAGTGTTCACTTATTTTAGAACAAATGGAATACAAAATAGAAAAGTGATATTATGTGATGGTGTATAAAATATGTATTATATATTTATTGTATTAATTAATTAATGTAAAAATAGTCACAATTTAATTAATAAAAAATAGTCATTTTTTTAAATAAATAAAAAGAGTCATTTATTTTGCATAAGAATTTAATTAATTTTTTTTTTATTTAAAAAATTGTGCTTGTTAATTTATCAATTTAATTAATTTATTTATTATATAATAATTTTATTTATTTATTTATTACATAATAAGCAGTGTTACGTACTTAATTATATGGGTTGTGCATCATTAAGTCGCATCCACAGCTAGCCTTAATAAAAAGTCATTAACACACATTCCATCGTGTATTCTCTTTGATTATTACGGATTACAAATTATGAAATAAAGGATTTCTAGATGTAATGCAACTTTTTTGCATAAATATATATAATGTAAGAATATTTTAATGTTATGTGAGATTGAGTATGTGAGCGTGTTCTTGACCTTAAATTTATAAATCTTATTTATATGAGAACAGTATAATGGCCCTCACTTGTCATCTTTGCATTTTACAATGCAATGGAAGGTATGTGCCTTATGCCTAAATTAAGCTGATGACCATGAACACCTCTTTCACCGGTGTGCCTATACAAGGGTGATATGGAATGTGGTATACAACAAAAATATGGCTTCTACACTAATCGGAGCTCATGGAAGGATTTACTTTTACAGGCGTCCTCAAATTGGAAGCAGAAGCTGAAAAGGAGCATAGTAATGGCATGGAAACTTGCCTTGGCAGCTTATGAGTATCATGTGTGGAGAGAGAGAGGAACAAACGAATTTTCAGAAACACATCCTTACCTCCGGTGCAAATTTAAACCCTTAATTTGGCATTCAATGGCAGTTTTGAAATTAATAAAATACTATTTATTCCATTATCGTTTCTCTCCCAACCTTCACATTTTTAGAATAAGATATAAAGAATAAGGAGTAATAGTTATCCCTTCCAATCATTTTATTTCTCTCATTTTAAACAACCTAAACACAATATATACTGTCATTTTCTTTCTTTTCCCTCACTGTACTCTTCAATGAAGGTTAGCATCAATGTTAGGCAATCCAATACATCCATAACAAAATGTTGGTGAGACCAACTGTATTTTACTTGAATGACTTGAGCATGCCTCTGCTCACAGAAAATAAATACGAGGTCACTCAGTTTTTTTAATTAATTACTCTTGTCAATACTTTTATTCTTTCTTTTTTTTTTTTTTTCTTTTATAAATATAGTTACCTTTTAAAACCTTGAAAAATTACCAAAATTAATATGCGAGAGAATAAAAATGAGTTCAGAACGAAGGTGGATATGGTGAGATTGTAATGAGGGGTGAGGAGAAAAAACTTTATAATGAGAAAGGAGATTGAGCAAGTTGGAGGAGATGAAAAGTTTTAATATTTACGCTGGTGTAATGATAGAGGAAAAAAAGGGTGGAATGAGAATAGGAGTGGGAATTTATGTTTGCATCATAATAGAGGAAACCTCAGAACTAGATAGAAGACTAATGAGTTTTGGTATGACCAAGGGATATAAAATATAGGCATGGAGGTGCCTTTTCGGCTGACCCGAACCTGTGGCAATGACGAAAGAAAGACCAGAGAAAGAAAGAGTAAAGGGGCTCAAATCCCCTGTTGTGAGTTACCCGCAGTTCCCTGCTGTGAGCTGATGAAAGGCCTTAGTTTGGCCACGTATGCTTTAGTTTGTAATATGTCTGTGGGCTTCACTAAAATGGTGCAAAACGCATTATTCCGTTAAATCTGCCTTCCGTTAAACATCCATCTCTCGACATCTCTGAAAAAGCCCAAAAGAGCCGGCTCTACAAATTAATTGAGCCGTCTCCAAAAAATTGGGTTGAGCCGTCTCCACATTTCTTCTTGAGCCGGCTGTCCATTATTTTTTTTTTCTTTTATTTTTATTTTTTTTTTTGCTTGGCAAGGAGCCGGCTCTAAAAATTCT